TTGGATCGTCCTGCGTCGAGCAATGCAAGTAAGCAGGCAGGCAGGCGAGGCAACTGGGGCATAGACGCCAAGACTCGTTAAACAACAAGCTCGCTTTCCTGTTCCTTGCCCATGCTTTCCCTCCAAATGCCCACATCGCGATACGAGACGAAGCACATAACCCTTGCACTTCACCCAAGGCCCCCGTAAAAGGATAAAAAAGGCGACAGCCCAGCCCAACAGTATCTTTACAGCCCAAAGGAGCAAAAAGGTCCACGACGTACTCCGCACGGCGTAGACATGTAAGCTCTTTTTGGTGTCATTTTTTCGGCTCATCATGCTTCGTCTCGTATTTCACCCCCGACAGCAGACCGACTTTTGAACGCCATACTCCCCGTCCCTCCCCGTCCCTCCCCGCCCGCTGGGTGCGCACGTTGTCTGTCATCTGAAGAAGAAGAAAAACGCCATACGAAGAACTGCAAGCTTTTGCCGACCATCCCACGCTTTTGGCTGCTCTGACTGGGGCAAGAGGCCCGAGGCGGCGGCCCCCTTGCTATTCACTGGGGAAAGCTCGCCCTGTCGAGGGCACTAGCTGCCAAGTTCAACTTGCTAGCACTCCAGGACGCGACAATGCGGTGGTGCTGTTGCACTCCAGCGGTGTTGCGGTGTGCAAAATGTGCTCGTCAGAGAAGCTAGGGGAAGGTGGCTAGCCACTCGAGCCACTCGCGAGGCCAGCTTTTCCCTCTCCCACACCAAATCATAGCGCCGTTTTGGCCTGACCGGGTGCTCTTTCCGGGAACGGGGGGAGGCCATACCAAATCGTCTTGAACAGGCGAAAGCGAAAAAGGGGTGGGAGGCGAAAAATACAAGGACAAAAAAAAAGGCACAATAAGGCATGCAGGGAAGGAGCGTTCCGTGGCAGGTGTACAGACAAGGAAGGAATGATGGATAATGGAAAGAATGAAAGGTGACGAAACCAAGACAAAGTGTGACGGCGCAAAGAAGACAATGGAAGGAGCAGCTGTCCCGGCGAAGGCACACACAAAGCAACATCAAAAAACGGTTGACGTACGACACGATTGACAACAGGACAACAGGGCTCTTTGTTGCGCGCCCGCGCGTCTGTTGTGTATGAGCGCGGGGGGACGAGAACGTAATGGACTAGAAAACCAGGTAAGACAAGCCTGCCCAGTGCCAGTGTTGTCATTTTTACCAAGGAGATGGTGGGTTGGTTGAGGTTGGCTGGTTGGTTTACGCGTACTCAGAGCCCATCCTTTCCGTTTTGCAGAAGCTCCGTTACTATCAGACTATTACTCAGAACGTGGTTTCAGAAGGTAGCAAGGGGGGGGGGGGGGCTCAAATGAAGAGAAATCAATTAAAAAGAGGAAGGTACGACATGCATTGTAACAAGGGCGGCACCACCTCCATGGAAAACAACTAAGAAAATAAAAAGGCCGAAAAAACGGGCTTGCTCCTCTCTTCCTGTCCCAGCTCCTCGTCACCCCCCTCGTTTCTGCGTTTCTTCTCCTTCGGTGGCCCTTCTTTCCCCCCTTCTTCCTTCTCTGCCCCCTGTCGCTTCCATGCTAGTGCACAACAAGGCCGAACCGCACGTCTCCACTGATCTCCACAGACGTACACCGTACCCTCTGCCTTGGTTTCTCGTTTACGACCAGACGGAGTGATGTGACGTCTGTTACCGCCAAAAAAAAAAAAAAAAGTTAAGAGACTCAGCGGCTCTTGCTCATGAGACCGCTCTCTGCCACGCCCCGGCCGCGCCTGCCCTCATTCCAGCCTTCCTTGTGACTCGCCTTTGCTCTTTCCCTGGATCGCTGGGCGGCAAAGGTGAGCCAGGCGACCAAGGCGCCGATGTTGCGGTGAAGGGAAGTTGCGACCCAATGACGTGAAAGCGGCCTGACGCTCGCAAGGAAGGACCTGGACGGAGAATGGAGTAGCCTTTTCCACTGCCTTCTTTGCGCCCAAGTATCGGGTTTTTTTTCTTTTTCTTTTGGCTTGCATTATTACTATTACAAAAGTGTGGTGCCTACGACGTCAATTAAGCTCCCTGTCCGTGGTGGCTTTTTTCTTTTTGCTGAGTGGAACATTTTCGTCCCACCCTTGTCAAGTATGATTCACCTTTTTTTGGCGGCGCCCCTTTGCTCCTTCCCAAGATTTCCACGCCAAAAGAAAAAAGAAAGAAAAATTCAAGGGGAGGGGGGAGGGGGAAACAGTCAAGCGCGACCGACCTAGCGTGCCTCACTCCGTAATCAATTGTGCCACTACCTCTACCTGTCTGACCTCAACGAAGCCCGCCGCACTCCGTTTTTAGCCCGCTGCTGTAACAATTCCACCTGTTGGACACGCTAAAGCACTTTCGGTAAACCTCTCTCGCCCGTTCCTTACTCAACATAGCAGCGACCGTTTCGCGCCAAACTAGATATCTGGGTAGTTCCTCACATTTTCTTTCCTCTCTTCCTGTTTCTCTTTTTCATTCCTCAGACTCCCTCCCCGTCACCAACTTGACCACGGTCAACAACCTCTTACGATTCCCAAACGCATATCGACGACCGTACAACGACTGTGTCGTACGGACTCACACCGCGCGCATATACCCACCCGCCCACAGGCCACTGGAACTGAAAGCCAACGCATCCGCACATCAGCAACCGCCGCCGCTCTTGCTCTCTCGTAAGAGTCACCAGCTCGTCGTCACCGCATTTCGGCGCAGAATTCGTTGTTGTTTCTGTTGTGTCTCTTTTCCTCCTTACCTTGTGACGCCGACTTTTCGCATGGCCACGGCTCCCTTCGACTTTTGCCAGTACGAGACTGCACAGAACCGCATTGGCACAACGAACGAAACGGTCGACCCGAACTAAATTCCGGAACCGGAACACAACCAAAGACGCAGGACGTGCACCCCAAAGGCAACACCGACGAAAGAAGCGAGCACGTTGTGCGCGTCCCCAGCTGGCATCGCTCATAACTCTAATTTCACGCCTGCCTCACGCCTGTCTCGCGACCTTTGTGGGCGTTCCCGCAGCCGTTACGAACTGTCGCTTTTCCTGTCGTCTTGGAACAGTAGCGCACAAGCTGGCCATTGCTTCCCGACCAGTGTGCAGGGCACGAACACCAACCAGCACTCAGCTTTGGTGCCGTCGTCTTTGTGGACGTCCGGCCGTGTAGTTGGCAGCTGCGCTTGCTCGTTCAACAACATACTTGCCAGCTAGGCGACGACAGTTAAAACAGACCACCGACCTCACACTGCGACCCAACACACACCAGGAGCAGCTGCCACCCGCGCGGCGCACACGCCAGCTTTGCGACAAAAGCGACAGGCGGCTCTGTGAGACCTCTGGAGAACAGGGGAACCAGCAACAAAATCCCCAACGGCGGGTTCAAGGAAAAGGCGGTCCCCCCCTGGAACAGCCAGCGGAGCCTGCTCTCTCTCTGCGTCTGCCCTGGAACCACTCTGCCACTGCACCTGTCATCCTTGGCCCTATGCCAGGTTTGTGTTGTGGGAACACTGAACTGGGTTGTAACCCAAAACAGCGGCCTGCATACAACACAATACGTCTGCTGTTTTTGCAGCGACGTGTGCTCTCTCTCGCAGCAGGCGGCCGCCTCTGACTGCGGCCCTTACCCGCCCCATCCTCGCAAATAATCAGATTCGCCAGCAGGGAGGACGCTTCGAGGACGTACTTGTACACGGCCTGTACCTTGACGACCTCCAGCGTCCAGCGACCTGCGTTCTTTGCCTGGGCGTGTATCTATCTATATTTGCTGGCTCTGTCCCCCCATTCTTAATTTTGCTCTTTTGTTTTACCTTCTGGCCTATTATTCCTTCCTTTTTCGATCTTTCCTTCTCTGCTTCTTTCCCTTCTTCTTTCCCACACGCCCCCTCTCCCCGTTAAAATAGACTCCCGTCATCCGCTGCAACCCTTGCCGCCTGCCTGGGCAGAAGTCGATCACCAAGCTCCACACGCAACACCAACACAGTCGCAGCGGCACACGAGAAACGAGGGACCGAGGAAACGGAGGCGAACACACGTACACGAACACCGAAGGAAACTGAAGACGCAGAAGTGCTCCCAAAAGAAAGAGCATAGCAGGCCAACCACTGCTGCACAGCATTGCACAGCGGACGAAAAGAAAAGAAAGAAAAAGAAGAAAAAAAACGGCAGATGCAACACCACGACTAAACAGACGAACGCGTGTGCGTGGCGGCCACTGACGATACCAATACTGAAGTCCTTACTGTGCACACAGAGCCAGTTTGGTTCTGCAGATTGGAAACTCCCGCTGGCCTGATTCGGTGCTCAAGCACATAAATCACCACACCCCACCCTCCTTTTCTCTGTTCTCTTCTGTTTTTGTTGTGGGCTGGACTCGCATCAACTTTCCGTTCCCTTCTTCTGTCCACTTCTACGACTCGCGTCTTCTTTCCAACAGGTAACCTTGTTGACAAGGCGTTGCCAAAAGTGCACTTACACAAATACGCCCTGCTCTCACAACGTTTTATATAAGCCTCCAGGACGCCCACCTCTCCTCTTTCCCATTCTTCTACTTCTGCATCCTTCTTTTATGAGCTAGTCCTCCTCCACACTCACCTCCTTCATATCAAACATCTTCTTACTTTCGACTCTTCTTCAATGCGGCACATTTCACCATTGTCTTTTCACTTCCACTCAAACATCATCAACTAGACCACGAGTACTCTGAGAAGTTCTTCATGTCTTTTTTTTAAAACAACTTCCACTTCACCATTTTACTTCATCCGCATTTGATTTCTCTTATAGCTTGTGCTGAGCAGCTTCCGTCTTATACGTTGTTGTCCAGCACACTTTAAAACCATGCCGTTTTTCGATCTTACTTCACATCCAAGTTTCACTTCGCCAATCGCCTCTTCAATATCGATTCCATCATCGGTAGAGGACGGCTCATTTTCGACAGCGCCATTATCGACGCCGCTGTCATCATCACCCACAACTTCCATCTCAAGTCTTAAGTCTTCCCTGAGCCGGAAAATGGCCTTGAGCAGGAGCTCTTCGAGGGACAGCAGCGGTCGTGGGCACAGCACCCAGAACGCTGCGTTGGCTGGCCCCATGGTGGAACGGTTTGTTCAGGCACAAGCTCAGCAACAGGCACTGGAGCAGGCAAGGCAGTCTTCTGAGGGTGCCAACAATGCCGTCGTCTCCAACGCCAGCTTCTCGTCCGTGTCCACGGCATCCACTGGTCTCAAGATGACGTCAAGCGCAAGCAACTCGCCTACGCTCATCTCGAACGTGCCAACACCGGCGTATGGCAACTCTATGCTTCCCTCGCCGGAGCCGCTGCGTGGACGGGACTTGGACCCTATTCCCATCTCCTCGTTCCAGCTGCCGGAGTCGATGTTGAGCCATAAGATGAGCGAAACCTCTCTCCTCCAGAACACCCCGCCACTCAGTATGCAGCAGGGCGGCGGCAGCACCACCTCCATGTCACAAGCACAAGAGGCATCTCGGCAGAACGGCAGCATCATCCGCCGTCTGTCCAACCGAGCCTCCAGAGCGATCACGCGACGCAGGCCGTCGTCTGCGCACCCCAACAGCCGGGACGTTAGTGTCGGGCCCGGCATTCTTCGCAGACGAAGCGACAGCAACAACACCACTCCGGTCAGCGACATACTGGACCGGCCTACCTTTGACACCGACTCCGAGTTCGAGGTTGACGAGCGGGACGATGGTGACAGCATTGCGGCTTCCATGTTCGACGGCATCGCCAACACGGACGCATCTGCCACTATTGTTGGCACGTCTTCTGTGAACGGCTCGGTCGCGACAGCCGCGGCGCCCACGCCCGCTGAGGTTGGTCCGGTTATCCCGCTGGCCCTGCTCCATGGCATTTCTATTCGCAAAGTGTCCAAGAAGCACAAGCGCGTTCTCCTCACCCTCGATGCCGAGGCCGGCAAGGTCTCCTGGGACCGCTTCCGCCCGTCCAAGAGCATCTACATTGATGATATCAAGGAGATCCGCACCGCCGAAGACATCCGTCAGTACCGCTACGACTGCAACGTGCCCGAGTCCGACGAAGGCCGCTTTTTCTCTATCCTCTACCAAGTTCCCGGCGTGAAGGAGCCCAAGGTCAAGCATTTCATCGCTGATTCCGAGGAGAATTTCTTGGACTGGACGACCACGCTGGACGCCATCTACAAGCACCGGCAGGATCTGATCGCGTCGCTCATGGCCTTCAACGACAAGGCTGTGCGTGGCTACTGGAACCGGGAGATGGCCAAGCAGTCCTCGGAGAAGCTTAACACCCAGCCTTCCACAGCCCTTGCTGGCGAGATTGATTTTGCGGGTGTCGAGCGTGTCTGTCGCAACTTGCACATTCATGTTCCTCAGGAGCGACTCCGCACCAACTTTGCCAGTGCCGATGTGCACAAGACGGGCCGCCTGAACTACGCGGGTTTCCAAGAGTTTGTGCGTCTGATGAAGAAGCGCGGCGACATTCATGCCATCTACCGCACATTGGCATCCAACGCGAGCCTGGGCATCACCCGCGACGAGTTCTTCGACTTCTTGCGCAACACGCAGGGCGAGAACGTCGACGATGAACTTGCCTCCTGGGAGACTGTGTTCTCCAAGTTTGCCCGCCGGCCCAAGGCTTCATCGTCGTCTGGAAAGGACATTGCCGTCATCAGTGACGGCGAGTCGGCTATTAGCGGCAGCGAAGAGGTCCCGCGGATGTCGGAGGCTGGCCTCGCGAGCTACCTCACCTCGACCTACAATCTCTCCTTCATCAAGGAGCCGAAGGAGTACACCTTTGACCGCCCCATGAACGAGTACTACATCTCCAGCTCGCACAACACCTACCTGGTCGGTCGCCAGATCGCAGGCACGTCGAGCGTCGAGGGCTACATCTCCGCCCTCACACGTGGCTGTCGCTGTGTAGAGATCGACTGCTGGGACGGTGCCGACGGCCAGCCCATTGTCAACCACGGCAAGACCTTGTCCTCGAGCATGTCCTTCCGTGAGGCCGTCAATGCCATCAACCGCTATGCATTCGTCAAGTCGCCCTTCCCTTTGTGGATCTCGCTCGAGGTGCACTGCAATCCAGAGCAGCAGCGCATTATGGCCCGGATCATGCGTGAGGTCTTTGGCAGCAAGCTTGTCACCGAACCGCTTTCGGCCGCGACCAACCGCCTCCCCTCGCCGACTGAGCTCCGGGGCCGCATCCTGATCAAGACCAAGAAGACGCAGCAGCCCACCACTGCCACTCTTCCGCCACTTCCTCTGCAGACCGCGAGCGAAGTCATTGCCGCCAACACGAGCGAGTTTTCGGGCCGCCGCCGGGGCAACAGCCTGCCGACGCCGTACTACAAGGCGCTGACTCTGGACGGCAATGTCCCGAACGTAGTCTACTCGCCCACGTACTCGCAGCCATCGCCTCTATCGTACTCGGCCGGCCAGTCCCCCCCCGTGCTCAGCCCCGGCTACTCGACCCCAACGACGCCTCGCAAGGCCAGCACCCCCAAAGCGCGCGTCGCCACGGTCAACACCATCACCGAAGGTCAGGTGGCGCGTGAGACCCCGAGCAGCAGCACGAGCGACTGCGACAGTGGCAGCGAGAAGGCTCCCACCAAGCACAAGCAGAGCAAGATCGTGCCCGAACTGGGCTGCCTGGCTGTCTACTGCGTTGGCGTGCACAAGACGACGCCCTTTGAGGACCCCGAATGCAAGGCCTTCAACCACATTCTGTCGTGGGATGAGACGGTGTACGACCGCAGCACCAAAGCGCGTGACTACCGCCAGGCGGTGTACTTCCACAACATGCGCTACCTGATGCGCGTGTACCCCAAGGCATACCGGTTTGGCTCGTCCAACTTTAACCCTCTGGGCCATTGGCGCCGCGGCGTGCAGATGTCGGCGCTTAACTGGCAGACGTATGATCTGGGCATGCAGCTCAATGCGGCCATGTTTACGGGCGGCACGGACGAGTCAGGCTACGTTCTGAAGCCGCGCGAATGCCGCCAGTTCCAGGTGTTGCCCAACCTGCCTGGGGAAAGCAAGCCGCGCGAGCTCAAGCGCGAGCGCAAGAACGTCAACTTTAGCATCGGTGTTGTCTCGGCCCAGCAGCTGATGCGCCCCGTCAACTTCCCCGACCGCCGCACGCTGGATCCCTACATTGAGGTCGAGGTCTTCATGGCCGACGACAAGCGCGACCGCGACGAGAGCAAGCAGCAGTCCGACCACGTGCCGCTGACCCCGCTCATCTATCGCACCAAGATCGCCCCCGGCAACGGCTTCAACCCGGTCTTTGACCAGCGCTTCAACTTCCGCTTTACGACCAAATACCCCGACCTGGTCTTTGTGCGGATGAGCGTCAAGCTGGCCGACAACGGCAAGTACACGAGCGCCAACCCCACGGCGACCTTTACGGCCAAGCTCAGCAACCTCAAGCAGGGCTATCGTACGATTCCGCTAGTGGACGTGAATGCCGACCGCTATATGTTCTCGACGCTTCTGTGCGAGATCCACAAGGAGCCGATTACGAGCGTCTTTGTGCCGTGCGCAACCGATGCAGCCGAGGGCAGCACCAGCACCAACAAACTCAAGAGCATCCGCACTGTCTTCAACCGTACGACAAACCAGAGCCCCAAGTCGAGTATCGACAGCGGGCCGTCGTGAGCCAGTCGAATGACGCTATCCTATCTTTTTTTCCTTCTTCCTCCCTCTCTTCCCTCTCCC